TAGTTTAACCACAAGAAAGTACTGTATAAGAAATTCTTTTAATTGTAATTATTCAGTCTAAACTTTTTTTTCCAAATCTTATTGATTTTGTTTAATAATATAACAAATTTTAAATGCAGTAAAGTTTTGTTATCATCTGCACAAATGTAGTTGAAAATTTAGCTATATATCACCTTCACTTATAAGAGATCAAGTTAAAATTCCATTGAAATCTTAAAATAGGTCTCCTAATGATTGCAGCTTACAATATAATAAGGCAATATTAAATGTCGTGTATTATACTTAATAATACATAATAAATGTTAATTAGCTATGATGGTTTCTGATAAAAATGTGATAAAAACCTTAAAAATGTTAATCAGGGCAAAAATTTGAAAATGGGGCAGAACTTTGCAACATTTTAAGTGTATCCGCCCTATTGAAATAAACATGTAAAGATACGTATCGTTTGGACAGAAAAGTTTCTACAGTCTCTTAGAAATGGGCCTTTACGAAAATGCCCGAATATATAAAATTTCAGCAGATTACCTTTATTGGTATGTACTTATGAAATAGGAAGCTTGAATGAAAGAATGACAGCTCACTTTGTTTCCTTGTGCCATATTCGTGCCTTTAGATAAAATGTTAACTACTTTTGAAATAATAAGTAATAGTTACCGTACGAGGAATAGGTCTGCATAGTATTTACAGACCCGGGTGGCGATTTGAAGACCGAGAGAGCGTAGCGATCGAGGTTTTTAAAAGGCCACCGGGTCTGTAAAAACTATGCAGACCTATTCCGAGTGCGGTAACTATCTTACCTACATGCTCTTTTGTTTTTCTATCCAAACATCAGTTTATAACTTCAATATCTATCAATATAAATCACAAGAAACCCTTTCATTTATGTACTTTATCATGTAATAAGAATGTATTCCGAAGCCATTCAAATATACCAACCGCTACGCTCTTGTAATTCATAAGTGCACAATCAGGTGTTATTTGAATATTCTCGTTTTTTTTCCTGGGGTTTCATTATGAATAAGGTCAGGTAAATGTACCTGTTGAGAGTTTCAAGTCATTGATATAAAGAGGGTAAAGGTAAGGTTATTATTTTGTTATATGTATATATAATTTAATAATAATAATATACAAAATATATTGACATAGAATACTTTATCTTGATATATAATGAATTTCATGGTTAATACATGATCCGCCTATTTTAGATATAAAATTTACGATTATGTTCAAAGGAAAGTAAGTGACAGGCTTTTGTGAATACAAATAAATACTAATAATACATGTAGTTAACTGTCTTGTAAGTTTGTTTGTTTAGATTTTTTTTTCATGTAGGCGTTTTATAGATGGCGGATTTTAAATATGCTTAGTATTTCTTCATGTTCAGAAGAATTTTCTTTCAGTGTACTCTCTATATATAAGAATCATTCCCCCTTCTTCATATGTTTGATAAGATCGTTTATATCCCATAATGCAGAATTGTTAAAATAACGCAGGATTGTGCAACAAAATCTGACAGAATTGTGGAAATAAATGCCGAAAACTAGAAATGTGTTTATACCGAAAAGCAAACTATAAAGAAGGTCGATATGCGCGTTATATCGGCAAAACACAAACTTATATATACTCAAGAACGGTAGTCAGGTCGGTTTTCTTAAAGCAAAAACTATCATATATGATATGATATCCTACCAGTCGTTTGCGCTGATTCATTTCTTTTAATTTGATGAACATGTACTTTAATTTTTATATATCGGTCCTATTCCCCCACCCATATTTGCACAATTCAGAGTTATTTTTTTGCATAATTCCTGCATTATTTCAACATTTCAGTGTCATTGGATATACGTATACGGGGATTATTATGTAATGCTTAATCTTAAATGCACGAGTTTCACATATTTTCTTTCGTATAGAGAACAATATAGAACAATAACAGGTCGGTATCTATTTGCAGACCTGTTAAGCGGTCGGTAAGTGATTTACTAGACCGCTTTTAACAAAGGAGCCGGTAGGTAATTCGCATTAACGGATAAGTAGCATGCGTAAACGGATGAATTCACACACCGTTTTTAAAGATAAAAATACGCGACACTCAAAGTGACACGTAAAATTGACATTTACTTATAAAAGCATGTCTGTAAAAAAAACATCGCATAAGCGGACAGAAAGCATACAATAGTGATTTCTAAATACGAACATCAAAACTAAACGCGGAATTTCCGAATTATATTAGATTCTCTCCTCCTTCTTAAATATAAGGCACTGTACTGTTTTTAAAGTAAGGTTTTGTAGATCTGGAGCCAGGGGATGACTGGTCAAGTCTGTAGCAAGATATATTTCTTTATTATAGGATATTATTTATTAGGAAATATACATGTAGGTAATTTGGTACACCTGTAACACGAGCACATCACAAGAACTGGTCGTTTAGTTACTACTAGTAAGTTTGTCGAAAAGAAGCACGTGAATATCGACAGACTGAAACCAAGGCTATACGAAACTGGATTTTCTCACAAACAAAAGTCTGATGAAAAAAAAACCTGCTGGCTTGTTCTTCTCCTCGAATTCGTCCTCGTGTGTTTGCAGATGCTAAAGTCGAAAACAGATGCATTTAAGAAGCGTCTTATTTGAATAAATTAAGAATACGATTAACAAGTACTACTGCAACAAACAACTAACAATACTGTTTTCAACAATTCTTTTTACATAATATATACATAATTGTTAACTTATTTGCTCATTGAATTATTTGCTCATTCAAAAACAATAAGATGTTCAACAAATTTTGTGTTTGTGTATGATAGTCTATGAAGAAAATGAACTATTAAGCAACTTGGTTGATTTGCAGTCTTCAATTGTAAAAACAATGTCTAATTAAAAGTTGATTAGGAAACGCTACAAGTTTACGGAATGCGACTTATTGAGCATCATTGTTTTTTCTATATTTTCTATATCTACACTTCTATGTTTCTTGTTGATTTATCTTTTGCTCTTCCATGGAAATGAAACTTTGATCAAAAAGTGATTAAAGTGGCGGTTTGAAGCAATTTTTGATCAGGCCATTCCTTATCGCAAACTCTTTCAAACTATGTAAAACATGCCAAAAACGAATGAGAATATACGGTACTGTTGCATGTTAGTGACAACCAAAATCCTCTGTTAAAATATAAAATATGAATCTATTGTTTTAATGGTAAATATAATTACTTTAAGATGCCTTTACTGATACAAAACAAAAATAACACAGTCTGTCTCAAAAAATATAAAAGCAGTTTTCATGTTAAGAAGACATTGTGATCGAGTACTGACACTTTGGGGTAAGTTATCAAATACATCTTGGCTAAAATAGCATGTTTATTGGCATCGTTATACTGTGGTATTGTTTTACAATTATAGTTACCAGCATAAACAAAAGAACAAAACATACTTTGATAACAAATCTACTTAAAAGCAGATGGTTAAATCGATTGTGTGAATTCGTAGCGTGATGTTTATTGTAAATAACCAAAAATCACGTTTACTAAACTGGGAAAAGGGCATTCTTGCATATCAGACTGGCTTTTCCGTTAGTTTTACCCATGCCGGAAATTTCATCTGGCATAGGGGGTTCCAGATGAGTCGCGTGCTGTACAATGGCACGATAAAGATGACGTCATTTTACCGTTATGAATGATTTTGTAATTCATACGCTGTTGAATGAAAGTAGTTACGGTTGTAATGATATACATTTTCATTGAAAATAAAGATTAAGAATTTAAAATATAATGGAATATGGTAGAATATGCAAGCCTCGTTACCGCCCAATGGGCGGGTCACCTCGGGACGGATATTCCGATCCGAACCGCAAAATATGACAGATATATTATTAATAAAAATAATTTGTTTGCATTGGTGATAAATCAATCAGTGCCTTTATACCTTTTCATCCATACAAAATATTACCAGTATTTAGAGCATTAATATGTAAAATATGTATATGTAATAACTCAATTTACATAAGAGATTGTAAATCAGTAGAAAATTTTTACAAAATGAATAGCATTGTTCTAGGTTATAGTGACCATTTGGTGCTTAATGTCAGGAAAAAAGACTATTTGAAAACTATTCATCGGTGACAAAAGACATTCAAGATTCTGAAAAATAATATGTCTAATGTATTATAGTTCGGACCTGATTTGACATGAGTAGTGCTTATGTAAAAGTTCAAGACAAAATATTTCTCAACAGGATCCAAGGAATCTATAATTAAGCTACAAATGCGACTTATTTATTATAAAATATATACGGACTTTTAGATCAACACTTCTCACGTCAAATCAAGGCGATCTATATTTTTATCGAAAATAATGTACATTGATATTGCCATTTGAAAATTGTATCAAAATATTTCGTCAATTTGTTGTGCAATTATAATTGCGGTGTCTTAATCGGTAAGACACCACAATTATAACTGCTCAACAAATTGACGAAAATTTGGTTAAATTTTCAAATGGTAATATACATGACTTTTGATAAGAAAGAAGATCGACTTGCACATTGCTGATTGAGATCCATACCTCAATCTTATGAAATAGCACAATTTTATGCTTGATATATAGAACTTCCCGAGGCTGGGGACGTTGGGAGCTCTGCTACAAATTCTTGTTTATAAAAACATGAGCATGAGCATATCAGGTGTGCAAACATATTAAAGATAAAGGTCATTGTTATGCATATGAATATTGACATAAAACACAAAACAACAACAATAACAACAATTATAATAATAATAATGATGATAATATACCATAGAACTCAACAACAGAGATTGATGTTTATAAGCTGATATGTCATTTAAGACATATCAACTTTAAGTTTTTTGTGAACAACTGTATATTATCGTTTGATTGAAAAAGTAATTTAGTAATAGTTATCACAATGTTTCAACAAAAAATTCCTTTGGCCTAATATGTTTGAGAGTGAGCTATATATTTGGAACATCTACCTAAGATTGTTAAGTTTCCTTTGACTTGTGATTAGACAAAGAAATGTAAGTACATTTTAAAGATATTATTATTACAATGAAATTTATTTTTTTATGATTTTGTAGAAAATGTGGCTAACATTCTATTGACTGGAAAACTTGTATTAATGTGCTAGTAAATGCTTATTTATTCATTCTAGATATTTTTTTAATTATCTAATTTCAGAGGGACATCCTCTCACATTCAGTATAAAATGTTTACTCGTAAGTACACGTTTGTAGTCAGTATCGCCTGTAATAAATACCAGTCTGATATGAACTTAGATGAAGTTGTGTTTATCATTAACTTATTGAATGAGTCGTTTTTATTATGAAAACAATTTATAATTTTATTTATGTATGCATTAAGCATTAATTATATAGTACTTTCTCCATGACCAAAATACAAAAATTCCTGACGTTCAATTTGATATTCACTATTTACGGACAGGTTTTGATTACAGAAAAATTTACGACTATATATTATACGAGGGCTGTCCGGAAAGTTCGTAGACAAGGCTATAAAATTATTATTAACAGTCATATCAATATTATGATGGAATATATTGCTAAAGTATTTATCTGCTACATATTTCTAAATTAAAAAACATGATAAAAGAAATATTCATAAAGCGCCGATCACCATGGCAACATGATCAACGAATCACGGAGCACTTTGATTTCATGACGATAGCTACTCGAATAATAAGTTGCTGAAAGTTGTAATTTTAACGCAAACTCTCGTTTTAATTTTGTGACATCATGAGATACTATTATATGTTATTTAGTGAAAATTATGATGTCATACGCAAATAAATAGCTTGTTAACGACGGTTATAGGCAATGAAGGTGTATAAATTTTGTGTTGCAAAAATGACGTCAAATTCACGGACGGAGCAACGTAATGATATTTAACTTCATAGCAACGCTTATATGACACGAACTGAGATTTTAATCTTTACTGTAAAAACAAAATCAACCATAAAGGCAACTTGTGTTAAAATGTCAAACAAGATTAAGAAGCGGCGATGACAGTATATCGTATAAGAAACGCTACAGACGACCAAAGGAAGCATGGGCAAAATATCGTATATTGCGTTACAACAACCTTTGAAAAAGATAGACATCTCACACACTGTATGAGAACCAGTGACATTTTTGTTTTTAAATAATAATTTTAAATATGGAATTCATAAAGTAAAAGCAACTTAACATGTATTAAGTATACGCCAGACAGGTACAATGGCTGTTGAAATCGGAAGAAATTGAATAGCGGGTAAACATGAAGTTAATTTGACGCCGTTGACGTTGTCAAAGTGCTCCATGATGAGGTATATATGTTGTATGTAATTACTGTTAAAATAAAAATGTAAGTCACAGTTCAGTAATTTTTGATAAATGTGTTCGCTAGATATGTATATTTTTGCTGACAAAATTTGTACAACATATGTATTGGTATACAATAAAAAATGAAGGAGTATATGAACTTTCCGGACATCCCTCGTAATTGTAGACTTGACACTGTTTATTTTGGCTTTCTTGGCTGCAAGAACAGGTCAGTATTTTATTTAATATATTTTTTATTATTTGATAATTTTTTGATTTCGTCTGTAGTTGTTTTACGTTTGCATATACCATATATACAAAGAATGGTTAAAATATACTTCCTATATGAGAACATTCAGTCAAGTTACTAAAGCTTTCTTATAGATGCTCGTAATTATACATACTTGTTTGTTCTGATTACAACTCAGTTTAGCAAATATATTCATTCTTTTTCTTATCCGTATAATGATATTCTTATAATTTTAAATGTACCACAATATTCATTTACAGCTTCTTACGAATGTTTCACATGTGAAAATATTGACAATCCTGATGATTGTCATAACATAACAGCAAGTGGCAACCAACAGGTATGATGTTTGCCTTAAGAAGTACAGATTAATCAAATTTTTAAGAGTTTTTCACATATTTTGTTTTTGGTTGGAGAACAGGTGTTTTCCGTCTTGAATAATGATGTTATGATACTTCATTTGAGGATTTCTCTTTACACAATCTAAATTTAGTTTTTCTATTATAATTGTTTCAGTCCTGTTTTGCAAAAGAGAACATCAAGGGGCGATCTAAGTCGTTTACATTAGGAATCACAGATGATGAGGTAAAATTACTTTTCATGTATTAAAACCGTATCGATGTAGTGCTATGAATTGCAATGTAAGTTAATCACATGTTTGAAATGTTTATATATATTTCAGTAATTTTCAATTATAACTACTAAAATATTCATTTCCATAATGACTTACTGTTTCCAATTTATTAACATATGAAATAATGAACTTTTGCTTTAGAATTGTGGTACGATTCCAATTTACAACGTAACAATAGTGAAAAGAGATGTGGAGGAGCAATGTTTCGAGTGTTGTAGTAGAGACAAATGTAACAATCGATTATGTCAGCATAGAAAACGTAAGTAAAAGCAGTGATTTAAGTTAATGGAGTATTTCAAATTAATATATTTCATCAAAAATATTGACTGCCAAATTCAAAGTTGTAATAGCTCTAGAACTGTGATGAAAGCTATTTCAAGTTTTCATAATAGATGATGTTCTCTTAGATAAAATGGGGAAAAATACGTGGTTTTGAATTATAACTTTGAAATTATTAATGAAAATATGGATGCATACAATCATTATCATCTCCAACACAGCTGGTAATTTCATTTAGTGTTTGAAATTATGTTTTGTCTAAAAGAATTGCAGTATTTTAAACGAATCGTTTGAAACTCTGCAGGGTAAATTCTTAAGGCCTAGTGGTAAAGGTATCTAACTCTCAACCCAACCCTTATCGGGTCACGACCATAAATTTTCATATGACACCAGTACTGATTGGTTCCAGGAAGCGTACTCGAAAGTGGTTAATATAACTTGTAAGAACTTGTTTCGTAATCGACCTAAAATAAACATGTTTAAACCAAAAAAATTTCCGTGTAGATCCCTGTTGACAAAACGACATTTGTTTAAGGCCTAGCTATGTGATATATTTATATTTTACGAATCTGAATATGATATGAATTTTTGTACCAGACTGTGGCCTGTTGCTTACGTAAATTGCATCATCAGAGGTTTTGGACGGGGAACAATTAAAAATATTTTTAGTATTTATTAGCTGCGCTGCTCTTGACATTTTAATTTCGTAAATGCTTACTTAATACTTAATTACGTCTTTCAGCATAATAAGTTTTTCTATAGCTCTACTTTTAGAGGATAGTATACATAGTCTTTAACATTAACTTTTATGTAGGCTACTTTTATGTTTCAGCCTCAAAATGTATTGACGACGTCAAAATTGACTGCGCACATATGAATGCGGTGTTTAACATTTGCGGAAAAGTGCACCAGGCGAAGAATATGTGTCCTAAGTTTTGTCGTCTGTGCTCATTAGGTAAACAATATGTTTTCACAATTGATAATTATATAACATAACTTCTAATAGAAATTATGTTCCAATTCTTGTAAAGAATAAATAAAATTTCGCTGTGTACCAGGCCATGCTGTCATTTATTAATATATAATTAATATATTAATAAATGACGGCATGGTACACAGCGAAATTTTAAATTATTCAACGTATGTAAAACATAATTTTGCAAATCAATATTCTTTATCATTTACGATTGTTTTTTTTTCTTTTTTTTCTTTTAAAACAACAAAAAGTTGACGGAAACTGGGCAAATTGGTCTGAATGGTCTGCGTGTGACGTCACATGTGACGTTGGCATACACATCAGAAAGCGAAAGTGCACTAACCCTGCTCCTGTTTATCAAGGTCTGATGTGTGTAGGAAATGACAGTGAAACAAAACGCTGCAGTCCAGGTAAGTTTTTCCGACATGACTATTGTAAATTATAAATACTTTATTTGGATTATCGATGGTATTTTTCTATAGATGTAAAATAGCTTTGGGTTGTTTTTTAGTTAACAAGAATACAACATAAGTGTTTGACCTGTATGATCATAAATAAGCTATATAAAATACAAACAAGAAAAATAGTAGCAACCGTTTACCGTTTAGATTTTAAAATCTGATATTCAGTCCATTAGTATAATTTGGTTCATACAGAATCTATATTATTTCGATTGTGTAGGAAGCTGTAAACTTATAGAGTCACATTAAATCCTTTCCTGGAGCTGACCGGTATTGAGCAATGAGTGTAAATATACTTGCTCAATAACGACTTAAATTTGTCTTTTGACGTCATATCTGTGATATGCAGGCTTCATAACCTCAGATCCCCTTTCACAATTCTATTTAATTTAGTTCCGCTCATTGATTTGTCGTTTACGGCACACGCATTTTCTTACTTTGGGACGATATACCGCCTTTCATGGAATGGCACTACTGTGTCACATTGAAGGTTCCATGATAACCGCAATATGAACACATCTGCGGATGTTTCAAAACTCAAAATTTTACCAGTTCATGTTTAATGTTGAATTCTACTTAAGCCGGTGCTAGGGGGCGTGGACGATAGTTTGCACTTGAGAGTACTGTCAATGAACTGGCTCAATCAAACCGAGCCTGCAACATTTTCAATTTTGCCGTGTTGGGTTTTCTTTAGAGATTCTTATTTCTCTCTATTTTTTTGCCCGTGAAAAGATTTAAACATATGCCGCTAGCGATCATTAAATTACTAGACCCATCCCTAAACCACTCGGCAAGACCATCTCACAATCTTATATTTATATTTCAAGACTGTGTAAAAGATAGAATATATCAGAAATGAATATTAAATTGTCAACTGTATAAATGATAGATATTTTGATTAAAGTAAATGGTGGTTGGTCTGACTGGTCGGATTGGGGAGAATGTTCTGTGACATGTGACACCGGTCTGAAGAAGAGAAACCGTTCATGTTCAAATCCGTATCCGAAGAGGACCGGCGTTCATTGCTTTGGTGACTCCACCGATGTTGAAATATGCAAACAAAAACCATGTAGTGGTAAGTCTCTGGTTATAACTGTTATATCTATCGACGTACACAATTTTCATACCTCCATATTTATTCTTCCTTTTTACACCTTTAATATTTCGATGTTATGATATTATTCTTAGAAGTAAAATAAAAATGTGTTTTTTATCGGAGCAAAGATTGTTATAGTTAAAAATTTTAGGTGTTCACAAATCCTGAAAAGTAATCTATATTTTGATTAAAAAGACTACACTGACATTTTTGGCATGACAAGATTTGTGCACCATTTTATGAACGTCTGGACTATAACTACAAATTTTCCGATAATGCTTTTACCACGTATTTCCAAAATGATCTTTTTCATTGCGCAAAATTTCCCAAAAATGAAAAGCGTTGCAACATTTTTCACTGGCATGTGACTAAAAATGGCCAAAATTGATATTCATTTTAATTCTGGGTAGATTTGATTATTATCCTTTGCAGATAAATAATTTTATAAGCTTGACTTGATCTCTGTTAGAATTAAACATTTTATGATTTTAGGATTTTAACCTCTGTAGAGCGCCTTTAAGCTAAATGGGACAAACATGTTCAAGGATAAAATCATTCTACTCAAAGGAATTTTCATAAAAATAGCATTTTTAGACCATTGACCATAGTTTTGCCTTTATAATTAGATGTCAAAAATTTATACATGAGATGTTATCAAGATATAAATTTTACTCTTTGATTTCAGATATTACCTCTACGGTCGCTTTCAGGTCAGATACAGTAACTGACTCGTCTTTAACGGACAACAAAATCATTGTATTCTCACATAACACACTCAACATTGGCGGCGCATATAACAACAAGACTGGTATCTTTATGGCACCTGTACCCGGACTCTACCAGTTTGCAGCTCAGATATGCTTGCCTCTACTTTCTCATTCGCATTTTGGTATCACAGTGAATGAGATAATTCTCACGAAGGTTTTAATTGGGGACAAGGATTGGCACAAATGTTACACGTTTGATGCTCTGACATTTGTTGATCTGGCAAATCAAGTATCCGTTAAATGCATAGGGTCATGCCTCGGTGACAAATTAATCAAGAATTATTATATGCAAAGCAGTTTTTCGGGGTTTCTTGTCAAAGCAAATATGCAATAATATTTCAATAACTCTTTCATTGCTCTAACGATTTTTACAACTCAAGACTGCAGAGACAAAATCAATAATATTACAAAAACCACTTTGTTGATGACATTTTTATAACTATACAAATATCTTTTAAAAAAAAAAGATATCCACAGAAAGTTTTTGCAATAACACATTTTGGAGTATTTATGATTAAAGTGATATATAAATATGGGTGGCATAAGGAAAAAATGAACCCCTTCAATTATTTTTAACATCATTATTATTAATCCAAAACCGACAGTTGTCAAGCTTAAGTGTATTAAAATGTTTTTTAATTGTTTATTCTAATATACATGTATGTAATTTAATGATTATAATTCACATAAACTTAAATATACAACACTCCTTGCACGACGGGTTTCTGGATTGTCGGTCAAGTATGTTTACCACTACACCACGGTGGCCGAGTCATGTGCTTTAAAATGACGTCATTCCGACGCCTTTGAAAAATGAGTCGTGTGCTTGGATGACGTCATACCACAGGTTATGGTGCACGAATCTTATATAAAATTATGATAAGTCAAAACCACGGCTGACATAACCCCAATAAATCATGCTTAAAACAGAACGCTTACATTTTCTATAGTTTTATTTTATGTTTACCGTATATCTTTTATGCATAATGCGTTTTACAAATGTATTTACTAAACTACATGTCTTTTTTAAGGGATAAGCATCTTCTGCTGAATATTCATTGATCACTTATATCTTTTTCAAATACGTAGTATGAGAATAATGTATGATATATCGCACAAGTGTGAAATATTACTAATGTAACATTAAACTGTTTTAAGCGAATTTAATTTTTTCTAAAACAACATGGAACCATTGACGTGTGTTGCAAAAAGTTTGATGAAAAAAATATCAGTTGTGTTTATTTATCTATTTAATTATCTGCCTATCTATTTATTTACTTAATTTAACAACATTTCACAGGTATCATTTTTGTTGCCTCACTTTGTTTTGTAATAAAAATAATAGAGCATTGGTTTAGTTGTTTATGTGATTTTCAATAATAAAGGGACTGTAAGTTCGAGTCGTTCAAGGATTACGACCAAATGTCCTTGTATCACATATCAGCACTGTTCCAGGAAGTTGACCCGTGAGTCTAATAAGCTTAAAACTTCCAAGCTCAAATTGATATACTGAAACTTAATTGAGTTAGGTTAACTGTCGTGGTGAATTCATATATGTGACAAGCTCAGCGATTTTTGGCCCAAATGTGATATCTGGGCGAAAATGAGTTAAGACTAGTTTGTGGTAGAACAACAACTGCTGAATAGCTGGCAACAATTATTTTTTAAAAATACTTGATATTTTATGAAATATTCTAATTTGTATGACATCACCATAACAACAAAAAAAATAACATTTTAAACTTTTATTGGTATATATAAACTAGAATTAATTCCATAGTTATACACAATAAAATAAACAAAATATAAAGTTATCATTCATCTTGATGTAATAAAAGTAATTTCTTGATATAAAAACTATCATTTGTTTCAATAATCGGTTGCCATGGCAACAAAAATATAAAAAAAAAATCACCAAATGCAATATTTTTGCATTTAAGATGATTATTTCATCACCAAATTAATGCATATATAATATTAAAAGACAACAATATTTAAGACTTTTCAGAAAAAGAAAAAAAAAGGAATTTTCACTTTTCCCTTTAAGTGTTATTGATAATAAATAAAAAAGTAAGGATTAAATTCTCAGAATTTCAGTAACTTTTCCATGATTAAGGCGAATATCATAACTTAAGTTAGTCCACTTCAAAGCACATAGCTTTAACATGATAGCATATAAATTATAAATCCAATGCAGAAAAATAATTCTTTAATGCACTGATTACAAAATAGTGTATTTTTGGTTACCATGGTAACAAAAAATATGCCAAAAAAAAACGCCAAAACAAGTATGATTTAGAATAATGGCATCTTATAAAAAATATTCCTTATCAAATAATTGTATTCACAATAATTTCAAAGGTCTTTCAGAAATTTAACCAAAAAATAGAAAGATCTTGCACTTGTTATTTTCCTGATTATATTTTCAGTTACAGATATTGACGGTGTAACCATATTCTTATCAGTATATTTTAAATTGTATAATGAATAACATTTTATATACATAACATATCTTTAAATTGAAATAATTTCAATAATTTAAAACAATTATAATAACAGATTTTTGCAAACACATGGAAAGTCACAACTGACAGATCACTTTTGTCCTTGAATGTAGTCTTGCAACCCCAGTTTGAGGATTTGATCCATACATGGTAACAGAAACCATGTCTCCTCATATGCCTTGAGTTTTTGTAAGCAGAAAGTGATTCTAAACTTGCAAAGACTTGTTTCACAAATATTGTAGCAATTGCCACTACAGTTTCAAGCTTTTTCAGGGATACTTCTGAAGACATAAATTCTATGAGAATGTAATTCACTTTGTATATACTGTCAAACATAGGTCTTCTACAAGTCATTGACTTCTCACATGCCATCCTGAAATAACAAAAACCTGAATAAGTATGAATGAAACAATATAGTGTAGATATAATAATTTGACTCCACAGAAATGAACTACAAATAAAGTGTAAAGTTGTAAAGTGTTGCACGGCTATTTGGTTCATATAAGGTCTTGTTCAAGTAAGTTCTTGTGTAATATATTACAGTGTATATATATATTATGTGTACACATGTAGCAGTAACATTCATCTTGAACATGTCTAAAATAATCTGAATCTACATAATATGCATGCATTGTGGTGAAGTCACCTCACTATTTATTTCACAGAATAGAAATTTAATATGGAATACTGCATATAAATATATACATTTATGTATGCTTACCCAATTGAAGTGTTTTTTATCTTGACCAATACTGTGCAGTTGATACAAAGTGATTGTCTTTTTTACTCCATAACCCTGGTGCTCAATAGGGCATAGATGTCATACATAGTGCCTCATTTCCAGCAAAAGTTTAGTATATTCATCAGCAAATAGGTGAACTAACTATGCGTTCTGAAAATTATGTACAAAATGTATACTGTATGTACTTTAAGAGCTTAACATTATTTTCTATACATTAATGACAGTAATTGCATAAAACAATACAACATTATTTCTAAATATAAATAATAATAATAATTGCATTTTATAGTCTAAGTTTCATGCTTACGCACGTTCACCAACTTTACAGCTATTACCCCTGGTCATCGGGCTACTGGTATCTATCTATCAATCTCCCTGGGGAGTCTTTTAACTCCGCTTAGTGCAGCCGACACTTTGGCGCAACGGATTTATACCACCCTCGCAGGTACCCATTTACACCTGGGTGAAGTGAAGCAATCACAGGTAAATTTCTTGCTCAAGGAAATTAGCAGTGCCCCTAGTGGGGTTCGAACCCGGGACCTCTCGATCCCTAAGCGCGCGTCCTACCACTGGACTACTGCTCCTACAAATATAAACTTGAAATTAAGTTCCTGTTACTATACAGACTTATTTAATTTTAAAACAATATTTTTAACATCTTATCTGACATAATATATAAAATGCTAAATTGCAAATAAGTTACATTGCTTTTTACCAACTGCAATTCAGGAAATTTATCATTATCATTATTAGATAAAAAGTGTTTATATATGTATACAGTGATTACAATCATAGTAAATCATGTGATCATTAGAACAAGTATCAAAACATTTACCAGTACATTTCCTTGTGGTCTTGAAGAATATGGCTCCAACATGCTGGGTATTAGGCCTATCTACTTTAAAATCTTTAATGTATGTTGGCTGACCTAAAATTACAACACAAAATAATAGAAATTCATTTGTCAATAATTACAGTACAGTAGCCTTGTCATATATCTCCTTTAAAATTTACACTGACTTTTTAGAAATATTTTATACAATATAAATCTACTTTATGTAGATCTATAACAAGCTCATTCATTTAAAACAAATTTCAAAATACGTTATGTGTCCAGTTACATTTTTGTCCCAGTGATGTAGAAAAAAATGTTTTGTTTTATCACAGTTTAATATTTTCATTTCAGCCTGGACTTTAATTTATTTTAGTAACGTAATCAATGTTTAATTTAGAAAAAAAATAACAATAAATTTCTACAAAGACCGTTGTCGTATAGCTGGTTGCACAGGCTAATTAGTCATACATGCTATATTCAAAAAGAATGACAAGTCAACATGTATATACATATATTAGGGTTTTTATTTCTTAATGTGCACTATGGAACATGACATGATTTATGAGTATTATAGTGCAGGAGATGCATACGGACTAGCTTATGTCAAGATGATTTATATATGTAACTCTAAAACGTGTGTATTGATATACATTATAAAATGTCCTTAGGACAGGTTGATATTATATATACTATTCTCAAATGTCAGAGTAGGAGAGTTCAGTTTTGGTATTCAACTCGTTCACATGTGTGTTTGTATTTGTATATTAAAAGTATGTAACATCCGTGAGTTCTTCCTCCGTTATACGACAACGGTTGATTTGGCGCCTAAGACCAGCGATGTCGAAGCGACGATTTTGGATAGCGGGACACAACGAAGTACCTGTAACAGAAAATTAAAGGTGAGTGATCGTTAATATATCAGTAATTTGCTAATTTTGAAGATGTCAGATCAAGAAATAGCTACAATTTTTGAAAATTTGTCAGATAAATTGAACAATATTTCAACTGTCATAGGTACACAGGGTTTATCAGAAATAGTACAAAATTTTGATGGAAATTCTAAATATTTTAATGACTGGATAAAATCTATAGAAAAATATGCTGTTTTAAAAGGTTTGGATGATAATAAAATAAAATTAGTCGCATTTCAATCAAGTAAAGGGACTGTAAGCGATTTTATATGTAGATATTTGCGTGATAATCATCGTAATTCGTGGGAACAATTAAAAGAAGAAATAAGTACTAGATTTGGGGAAATTAAAGATTTTCATCATGAATTTTATCTTTTGAGAAATTTAAAACAAGATTTGGGAGAAAGTGTTCAAATTTTTGGGGAAAAATTTATTAATTGTGCTGAAACCGCTTATGAAAATTATAAACTAGGAGATAATAGTTTAATTGAACTTCAGTTAGTAGAATTGTTTACGGATAATTTAGCGCATAATTATTTAAAACTTAAACTTATGAGAGAAAAGCCAAAAACTTTACAAGAAGCAATTACTTGCGCAATGAATGAACAGAATTTCAGAGCTAGATTTTCTGCCAGAGTAAAATTTTCTAATTCTCAAAATCACGCAAAATACATGAATTACAAAGCAAATCATTTTAATCATTATTATACAAGAAATTTTTGCGTGTACTGTAAGAGACCAGGTCACCATGTGCGTAGTTGTAGATTTAGGAAAAATGAAATATATTCTGTATTTCACCGACAAAATTTTTCACGATTTAGGAAAAATAATAGCAATAATAGTTTGAAATCAAAGATTAAGTGCTGGAAATGTAATAATTTTGGTCATATTATGCGTGAATGTCGTAAACAAAATTTTTACGACAGAAACAAAATAAATTTTCAGGAAAACTAGCAAGTTCCTGTCACAAAGGGGTCATTGACAGGAACGATAAAATACCAAAATTTAGTATAGCATTAGCTGGAAGCCCTAATTCGTGTTTGATTAAAATAGAAAACTATAAATACAGATCGTTAGTAGATTCAGGTGCTGAAGTTTGTCTTCTGCATCGCAGAATATATAGAAAATTGAAGAATCCCCCTCAACTTATAAAACAGAAAATAAATTTATGTTCAGTTGACGGAAATTATTTACATATAGATGGTTATATAAATCTAAATTTTCAAATAGGGAAAACAGAAACAACTCAAAAATTCTATGTTGTTTCTAAAATGAATAGAAATATTATTTTAGGCCGTGATTGGTTAACACAAAATGGCGTTAGATTATATTTTGATTTAGGCTGCTTAA